TTTAACTCATCAAATTCTCTATCTATTCTTTCTTTAGTTTCTTCATCGGTATCAGCACTATCGATTATTTTTTTCTTATCAATAGTTTTGAATGCTCAATCAACCAGTTTATAAGTCTGATAAGCATAACTGAATAACCATCTTTCTTCACGGTTAAACTCTCCTCTTTTTCCGATCAAATTAGAACGTTTTTTTTCTACTTTCAATCTTTCTTCTAAATCTTTTCTTTCATCAACTAATTTGTCGATTATTTTTCTAACCCTTTCAATGCTTGGAACAATTTTGTCAGCTCCTTTTTCATCTCCTAATCTTTCTAAAATTCCTCTTAAAATAGTTTCGACTTTGCTTTGGCGAGTTAAATTATCAATATTAACTTGGGTAAAATTAACTAAACTCTCTTTTACTTTCTTTAATTCCCCCTCTCCTTTTTTGATCAATTCTTCCTTTTGTTCAATTTCCTTTTCTAGTCCATTGATTTTTTTCAGTGATTCGCCAATATCATCAGTGCCTTTTTTTTTAATAAAAGGTTTGCCATAAGTATCAGGATTGTTTAAAATTAAATCTTGTCAAAAAGGACTTTCACTAAAATCTTTGGTCAAACCAGTAGCAGTTGAAACAAAACTAGTTTGCCGTTTTTTTTCGTTCTCTTTAGTCATGAGAGTATAATTTAATTTTGTTAAAATTAAATTAAAGCATGATAGTAAAAACCATAGAGCAAAAACACATCGAGCAGTTTATCGAGGAAGCAAAAGGTAAATGTTTCGTTTGTAAGAAAAAGAGTAAATATTTAAAGGGAAGGACTAATCGCATTAACTTGAATGTTATTATTGTGTAACGAAAATTCATTATTTGGAAAAACATTTTTATGATCATTGACTATTTGCAAAAACCCATAACAATTAATTAACCATGACAATCAATCGCACTCCCGAAATTGAAGAAAAAATTTGAAAACAAAGAAGAAAGGATTGACAATTTTTTCTTGGAATTGAGTTTAGTAATGTTGTAAGAGTACAAAAAAATAGATTTTTCTTTTTGCCTGAAGGGAGTACTGATTCGAATGATGCAGAGTCATTACTTACTTCTGAAGAAGAAGAACAATTTGATGCTATCAAAGATAAAGTTGATTATGATAAAACTTGGAATCAAAATCTTGAAATAATTAGGGAAGCAGTAGCTCCTTTCGAAGTTGGACACACCTTACCAAATTTTGAGGAAACATTGAATACACTTGGAATTGAAATAAGATTGCCTTATCAGTTTCGAGGAAAGTATGCCACTGACGAAGGAGAAGAAGAAGTTCGCCCTGCCCCAGAAGATGAAACCGAATACAAACTAGTTGACAATGCTGATATTCATGAAGAGTTCGTTCTTGATGAAGATGGAAGAAGAAAAATAGTTTATTCTCCTGACCGAGTTGAACCGATTGAATATACACTTCAACCTAACGATGAAAAGGTAGGCATTCCTTATTCAGATGGTCGCCAAAGAATCCGAACTAAGACCGGTTATTGAGTTAGAACTTTCAAATATCAAATCGGAACCGGTTTCGAAGTCAACTCTTGAGAAAGTTATGAAAGATGACGAGAAGAGACCGATCCGGAAGAACCACCTATAATTTTTTTATCTGCTCCGCACAAAGTTGGATTCAAAGAAATTTGAACTTATGACCAATTTAAGATGTATGTAATGGATACTTATCCCAATGATTATTTAAAAATTAATAGAATTGGAGAAAGAATTTACAAAACAATGGTAGTTTCTCCAGACTACCAAGTAAATTTGGAAAATTTGGAAAGGGAGGAAAAAATATTAGAAGACTTAACTCTTCCAAATGGAAACAAAATTCTCCAATATGTAGAGATAACTAATGTCAAAGAAGAAACTTCCGAATTAACCTTTCTTGCCTCTTTTGTTGAAAAGTTTTTAAAAGAAGAACCTTTAAATTCTCAAAAACAACACTTAATTCGCTTGTTTAAAGCAATGGAATACGATTTTCTCCGTAATGAACCAGTTTATTGAGAGAAGATTCGCAAGTTTATTAAAATCCCAACTCCTCCGACTGTTCCGACTGCTTTATTGCATCCCGATATTCAGTCAATGGTCAATGATTTGAAAGGTTATATACTTTATCTCTATTCTGGCTGACCAGAACCTTGTGATCTAATTGGTTTTAATGCAGCGAAAATGGCTATTTTGAAAGAATATGAATTTTTGCTTCGAGAAGTATTTTTTCGTTTTATAAAAGCCCCCAACTTTTTTCGTTTAGATGGAAGAATGGTTACTCGCATAATTGATAACAGTACTTTTGGAGAAAATTATAACCGTTCCGGAGGATTTGAAAGAGATCGTGATTTTGCCCTAATGGATGAGCATACTAGTGCTGAAAATCCTCAAAAGAGTTCTATTGCAGAAAATTTAAGAGAATATGGTGCTTATAAATCAATGATTGTACAAACTGAATCAAAGAATTTAACCACCGAATTAAAAAATAGAATAACTAAT